AAAAATGGAACGGACGTAGAGAATCGTCGATTGTTCTCTAAATGTACTAAATAGCAAACCTGGTTGCATTCAATGGGAACAGACGAGTTTATTTTCACTGGTACGTTTTTGTACAGGGTCTGACGGTGCAGGTCGACGAATCCGGAAATTTGATCATCGCCAGGATCTTAGGCGGAAGCACTGCTGCCCGCCAGGGACTCCTGAGAACCGGCGAGGTAATCCTCGAAGTGAACGGGAAGGAAGTTCACAACCCTGAGGAGCTTCAGGAAGCCATTCACGAGGCGAAAGAGAATTTGTCGCTGAAACTTGCACCTGGAATCGCTTCTGATGGCAATCGACCCGTAAAATCTACGGTAAGTGAAGATAATTTAACTTTTGATTTGGTTAAAGTTGGCTAATTTTAAATTCCTTTATCTTAATTCGTATGGTATAAATCTAAATTGAATTTACACCACGAATAAGGTGGGAATTTAAAAGGGAAGTAAAAATAAAATTCTTGAAAGGCCACCTTCTTGAAAAGAAGATTGCTTCTATTAAAAGCAGTAAGCAGAAAGTATAGAGGTACGAAAATATGTTTAATCGACCTCTTAGGATCTTTACGATTCAATTTAATGGCGTCTATATGAGACACGTGGTTACAATTTCCACCTTCCGACAAGAGGTTTCTTTAACACGATTGGATTTAGACTATAAAATTTTACTATTTCACTGATAGAATTTGTCCAAAAGATTGAACAGAATATGCTGTCAAAATTGTGTTCTAAATATAAAAATCATTACTGGAAACACAAATTGTAATAACTCTTTATATCTAGCGGTAGCTCTGTATTTCGTGTGTAAATAAATGATAATGTGGATCGAGAATGGGAAACTCAATCCGTCGAAGAACACTTGCGAATAGCTCGCACATTGTTTATATATCCTGTAATATCAATTTTTTCAAAAACGTGAAAGGTTTTAGGAATGGAAATAGATAAGAATTATGTGAAGGAAAACATCGGAGCTTAAAAACCTTATGTTTTGAAGACAAGAATAAAACATAGGTGGATAAAAAGTATGAATGGATGAAATTCTAAAGAACTACATACTATTATTACTAGAAAAAACAATCATCTACGTACAGATATGTTAATTTTTAAAATTATATGTTAAATCGAAGGAATTTAGTAAAAGCTAACAAAATAATTTATGTTATAATAATAAATATGTTGCAAATATTCAAGAATAGATCGACAGCGAAAACATATATTTAATCCTCAAATCAAATGAGAAAATTTATAATTAAAAAAGAATTAGTCAGTGTATTGAATTTTAAAACTGTTCTCCTATTAAAGAAAAGAGAAGATAGAACTCATCGTTAAATTGAGAATATTTAAACAAATTTATATTTTTATAAAAAGAACCGAGAAAGTAAAATCTGGGCAGGCATTTGTTTCACCTACTAAATATTTTAACGAGCACTATACTTTCATTATTTTATGCGTTTTTGTACATTATAACGCATTTTATGCATTTTTGCATCTTCAAATTTCCCATAAATACATAAAAATCCGCAGTCCTCCTACCACGTTTCTCTTCTGAAATCTCGAATTTGTTTTCACATTACAGTGTTACATGAGAGCGCTGTTCGACTACGATCCATCAGAAGACACTCTGTTACCGTGCGTAGAGATTGGACTTCCATTCCAGAAAGGTGACGTACTACAAATTGTAGACCAAGCAGACCCAAATTGGTGGCAAGCTCGGCGAGTTGAGGGCGAGGGTCTAGGTCCGCCTGGTCTAATTCCGTCGCTGGAACTGGAAGAACGAAGAAAAGCATTCGTGCCACCGGAAGCGGATTTTGTACACAAAATTAGCATCTGTGGGACTAAGATCTCTAAAAAGAAGAAGAGGAAGATGTATCAATCGAAGTCCAACGGTGAATTTGACAGTGCGGAACTGTTATTGTACGAAGAAGTAGCCAGGATGCCGCCATTTAGACGTAAGACCTTGGCTTTAGTAGGTCCAAGAGGAGTTGGTCGCAGGACGCTGAAGAATAGGCTGATAAATAGCGACCCTGAGAAGTTCGGCACCATTGTTCCGTGTAAGTGTCATAATTTTTGTGTGTCGTGAAATCTTGACGAGAATAACAAACAAAATTGATGGGAAAATACCATTCTCTTCTACTGTTAACAGTTACAAATTAGGATTATAATATTGTGATTCATAGAAGTTATATGTTTATAGATACTTCACGACCACCCAGAGTACTCGAGGAAGATGGCAAGAGTTATTGGTTTACCGACCGCGACTGCATGGAAACAGATATTAGAGAGCATCGATACCTTGAGTATGGTGAACACGGTGGGCATTTGTATGGTACAAAGTTGGATTCCGTGAGGGAGTTAATCAGAGCTGGAAAAATGTGTGTTCTGGATTGTAGTCCAGCTGCTCTGAAAATACTTCACAACAGCACGGAATTTATGCCCTATGTCATCTTCATAGCGGCGCCAGGGATGGAACAATTGAAATGGTTATATGATTTGGCGAGGTCGACTGGAACGAGCAGTCGGAACTTGACGGTAATTACGCTGCTATTATATATCACTGCCCTTTCTATTTTTCTCTATATGAAAATTACATTTTTCTATCTCCATTACGGCCAATAATAACGCCGAGAATGGAAGTGTTCTATGAATTGAAATTTCTATTGAATGTTTAAAATTGCTTTGATTATTGGTATCATTTTTAATTATTGAAACTACTGGTTAATGTTACTCAAGTTTTGTTAATCGAGTTTTACAACTACTCGTTAAAATGACTTTTTTATCAAGTAAATACATTTCCACGAATACAATATATTTAAAAATTTACAGAATGATTTAAGTATTTATTATTTTTTGAAAACATGTTCGAATTTCGCGTACGAGAAATAAGAAATCCATTTGAAATGGAACGATTCGATGCGCGAAATTTGTATAAAGAAGAAACATATATCGACGGCACAGGCCGCGTTTCAAATAAACATAGCCATCAAATATTTTACGATGCAACCTTCCGAATCTCTGCCTGCCAGTCTACCGTCGTCGTGTAAATGCGTATAATTTGCCTATTATAAATGTATTGCATGCACTTTTGTTCGATTACAATGACTCAATGATTGGTTTCTCTTCCACGAAATTCTTCTTCCATAAAATTCCAAATACCAACTACTCTTTATACTCCATTTAGATTGATATTGAATATTTTCACATATTACCCGTTGTATAACTTCCTTCTCTCGATTGACGTAGCGTTCTTTATTTAATCTTTCGTATGTATTTGATGTTGGCTTTGCTAGTTTGACCGCCAGAGTTCCATCAGGTACAGCTCGAGAAGAGCCAGGACGTTGGAATCTCTTGCTTCCTTGTACGAGGTTTGTATTTGCATGCATATTCATTGTATTTTTCTTTCCTTTTATCGTAATGTGATTGCTTGTAGATGTGTAGTATTATTGTTTGAAATGTACCACTATACAGAATCACGTAACATTCAAAGAAAAATTGTAATTTATATAATATCTAAATGCAGTTTATTGACAATGCATTAATTTTAAAATGTAGTTTATTAATGACATTAGGTCGCTGCATAGAGTTTGTCCGCCTCTACGATCATATAAATAAGTTACCAATGTTGTGGTAGATATAACATTACTACCTAAATCAATACAAACTGTGCTTCTGAAACTCACAGAAAATAGGAAAAAATATGTTCATTAATCACATAGTAATCAGACATTCAGAATGTTCCCATAATGACAAATCCAGTATCAAAATTCTCATTTTTTTCAGACATTACAATACATAACAAATGTAATAAAATATATCCTTCTTTTAATTTATTTATTAATTAATAAATGGAATTTATAGAAGATCCACTCTGCTGGATAGGACTTATGTAGCGACTTAATGCAAAACAAAGAATAGATATATTCAAGGCAAAGTATGAAAGCTACAATCTTTCTAACATTCAATTTTCCGATTGGAAAGAATCACCATCAAACACACTTGAACTAAATGCAATCAAAACTTAATCTTTCTCAAACTTTACAACGTACAGCTAAATTATAATTTGCTTTTCACTAACTAGGAGGACGATCTGAAAGCAACGTTGGAAGAATCCGCGGCCTTACAGCGTGCCTACGAGAAATATATCGACCTGGTGATCGTGAACGAGGACTTCGACAATACATTTAGACAGGTGATCGCCGCGTTAGACGCCTTAGCCACCGAACACCAATGGGTTCCGGTGAACTGGATTTATTAAACACCATTCAGGCTACCTGAGGGAACAAGTAGTTTCAGAACAGATGATCCAATTCCGGTCTACAGTATCGTGCAAAATAACAAATTATTGCATTATTTTCTGTGGAACACGCGATGGCGTCTTTAATATACCCATGCTTGGCAAACTTGATGTCGAGTGCATCGTTAGTATATTTATAGCATCGTATCGTCGTGCAATGGAACAATTTTATGGTTGTAATATGTGTATACAGAGTTCTAGTGTGTTGTGTATATTGTCTCCATCAAATGTATAAATACTTTTAAGCGAAATGACGCACTCGAATCGGGTAAAGAAGAAACGGGACGTGAGTTTCTTCCATCGAGCGGGGAGTCTCCGAAACGAAAGCAACAAATTTCGAACACGCGCATTCTTCTTTTACTTATGATTAGAAAAATACTCGGGGCTATGAAGGCCAAGAAGAGATAGTATCTCGCTTTACGATGCTACGTTTCCAGCAAGTACAGTCGTGTAGCATTTACGTTACTTTGTTTTAGGTTTACGAAACGGTCCGTTCGCCTCCTAAATTTCGCTCGTTAATAACATATATTCGTTAGAAATCTACAAAAGTACCGTTAAAAGATATAAGAAAATAATAAGAAAATTAGAAAAGAAGCATATGAATTTTGATTTCAATGATAGTAGTTAAACAGTTTTAATTATTTTAATATTTTTAATATCTTAATGATCCAATATCTTAATGATATCCTCTGTGAGTCTCTAAATTGTCTTTTCACGCTAACTAAAGTAACGTTACAAAAAGAATTCTCGCATACATTCCCCTTTATCACCCAGAACAACTAAACGGAAACGGATCGCAATTAAAGTAGGTATACGTTATAGACCGCCGTCCAATTATTTTTAGGATACGCCTAGTTTTAATTTCCCTTGAACTACGAGTCTGCATATGTATGTATGTTTATTTACCATTTGTCATACAATGTACTTTCGTTTCTTTTATAGAGATATCTATTATATATACATTATATATTTCATGAATCATGTTTATACCGCTCGTGCACTTTGAACATATTCCTGGCATAGAGTGCCTTAATAGCACAGCCTTACTGGGCTTGCAGCGAAGACCTACTATGTCGAGACGATATATTCTCTTATACTCGAGAGTTTTGCGAAAGCCACGTCTAATAACACATTTTTTCTAATGCTCTGACACGCATGCACATGGAAATTACGACCGTTGCAGATCGCTATATATGCGTTTGATCGGAAGCTCCCGATCGTGCCATGTGATATACGGAAAAATAAAGTTTATCGAGCGTTTGTTACGAATTTGAATTACTAATACCTTTCTATCATTTTCATTATCCTTATTTCTCACAATTTCTTCTTGTTACCCACACTCAGAACATACTCATAGGGTCATGTATCTCTTGTCCATCTTCTACTCTGAAAATTACAAAATGAAAGACTTAATTTAGAAATTATTATAAACAGGTTGTTTTATGTTTCATAATGAATGAATTTCATATTTCAATCTGAATAACTGAAGTAAAAATTAGAGCTGAAATTATATTTTATTACAAATACAATCAACTATTTAACAAATATGTACCTCTGATCTATAACCATAAATACGGGCGACAATGAGTTAATTACATTTTGAAATCAATTTCCAACATTAATTTAAAAATATGTATAATTGTTCTATATGGTAACGAAAAAAATAAATAACTGGAATTGAATAACATCAAATTTTTCATATAAACTGAAGAATGAACTCTGTAAGAATGAACAATTTTAAATGAACATAATGGATATACCTGAAATATGATTGGTTATCGAATGCACTTGATGCACCCACGATGCACCGACGACAACCAATCATGTATTGTCGTTTGCCACGTTTCCAAGTTGTCGCATTGTGACATATGCGTTCCGGGAAAAGTTAGCGCGCCGAGTGTATTTCAGACACGGTTCAAACCGTGTTGAGTAGTTTATCTTACTATTAACTGAACATGCAAATATTACGGCAATTAGACGTGCACCCAAAAGTGCGCGAAGAGGCGGATATTCTCGTACGAACCTTCAGTGGTGCTGTTGGTAAAATGTTTTACTTGTCAAATCTTAAACGTGTGCAACTTAACGGTTTTATTCTGCTACCAACATACTTTTAACTATTAAACAATTTTGTTCATTTTCTGGAGTCATCATAATGCCGAAAAATTTTAAAATTATTCTATTCTACAATCTAAAAGATTATTTCAAGATATTATGATGTGATAAACATACTTAACCTCAAACGTTGATAATACTTAACGGAAGTAGAAATTTCTATCATTCTCTTGTTTCTAAAACCGAATACCGTCATTTCTTACACTTTGTTGAAACTGTATTTCAATTTTTACATGTATTTGTTAAGGTTTCCACTATCTCATAACTATTGTTTACATATCTGTTATCAGTTATCATAAATAAAGTTTATAATCTATGTTTACTATTTATGTACCTTTCCATGTTTCAGTGACTATTATTAGTACCATTATCATGGGTATTCTATTTCTATCCGAAGTGAATTATTATCTTACTCCAACCTTAAGTGAAGAATTGTTTGTAGATACTTCAAGGGGTTCAAAATTAAGAATTAATTTAGATATAATTGTACCTACAATATCTTGTGATGGTAGGTGTAGATTATTTTATGAATATAAATGCATTATGAGTAATACTGACATGTATATTAAATTAAGTGCATTGTAGTTTTATCAATAGATGCAATGGACACAACAGGTGAACAGCATTTACAAATAGAGCATAATATATTTAAAAGACGCTTAGACTTAAATGGGAAACCTATAGAAGATCCACAAAGGACAGGTACAAAATAATATCATAAGAGTTTTAAAATATTTAAGTTAAATAATATAAATTTAATAAAAATTCTTTATTTTATTGTAGACATTACTGACACAAAAGCACGTAGTAAAACAACAACAAAGGTAACTAAATTATATGACTCTTATAGATCTGTTTTTACAATATAAGTTTTAAAACTTATACTAAAACATAACCTTTTTCATAGACAGTAGAAAGCACTACTGAGAAAGCATGTGGAGACTGTTATGGAGCTGCTGGTGATATTATCAAGTATAGTATTACAAAAATTTATGTATGTATTTTATGAAATATCCATCATACAATATCAATTAACTTTGTAGATGTTGTAATACTTGTGAAGATGTAAGAGAAGCCTATAGACTTAAAAATTGGGCACTTCCTGCTCTAGGAATGATAAAGCAATGTAAAAATGATAAATCAGTAGAGAAAATGAAAACTGCCTTTATTCAAGGATGTCAAATCTATGGTTATATGGAAGTAAATAGAGTGGGTGGAAGTTTTCACATTGCACCAGGTGACAGCTTCTCTGTAAACCATGTACATGGTAAGTGAAAAAAATATGTTATTTTTTGCATAAATTAAAGTATGAGTAATAATATTATGATTTTTATTTTGCTTATAGTGCATGATGTCAAACCATACACATCAACGCAATTTAATATGACCCACAAGATTCGCCATTTGAGTTTTGGGCTAAACATCCCAGGAAAGACGAATCCTATGGATGATACTACTGTAGTTGCAATGGAAGGTATGGCCTTGCACCATAGAAACTTTTTATTAAGAAATTAACAGAATATTTTGATACTACACTTTTTTGTATCCTAAATCTCCAACATATCAGTCTTCAAATACTAGCATCTTATTCCGCTTCCTATGGCCATGAATGTTCCAAATGTCCCACCACCTTGAATCATCGCTTTTCCAACGTTGTTTATCAATTCCCTTCCTCTTAGTCCATATCTAGTAATAAACACACACCATTAGTTTCTTATTTCAAACTGTCCAGAATTTAGTCACCATAAATAAATACGCACCTAACAACAGAATACCCGCCAAACAAAACACCAGATGCCATACCAACACAAAATCCGATCATAAAACCAAGCTTCATCCTATCCCAGCATGAAGGAGCTTGTTGATACATGCCTGGTACGGCCGGCATTTTATTCTATGAATATAAATTTATAAAAACATATAACTTTAACTTTTTTTTAAAGAGATAAACATTTCATGATAAACATTAATTATAATTTCTCATTTTAATGAATTTAGTATATAAAAATAATTTTTAGTCAATCATTTAACATAAAATTTATAAAATTTCTTTAACACATTGTGAGCTAATTATTCCTGCCATGACCCGAATTAATCATATTTATATATTTAGTTTATATGCAAAAAATGTATTGACGTTCGTTATAGTTAATATCACTCACGATTTAAGCGTACAACTTTGGAACTTCTAATTAGTTTTCGTTTTATTACGATTTTTTGTCTTTTACAACTGGTAAATCCTTAGCACAATTCGCACGAGCAATGTAAGGAAGATGCCATGTCAGTTTTTCCGTTTACAATGCAAGATGGCTGCTTCTTCTATTTCCGTTCTCTATGACGTCAATGATAATGGCGGACTATTCGATTAATACATAAATATTTCGATTATGGGAACGTTTTACAGAAAGTTCTTGTACTTTCAATTTTGAGATATTAAACTATTAGACTTCATTCAACACACATTTGTATTAATTTGTGTCATTGCAGTTAAAACTCTACTTAGATATTTTGTTGTTTTTGTTTTAGGTGCGATGATGTTTTATCATTACATCAAAATTGTACCGACGACTTACGTGCGCGCTGATGGTTCCACGTTATTGACAAATCAATTTTCTGTAACTCGACACGCCAGACAAGTGTCTTTGTTTAGCGGCGAATCTGGAATGCCTGGTATATTCTTTAATTATGAGTTAAGTCCATTAATGGTAAAATATACAGAAAAAGCGAAATCGTTTGGTCATTTCGCGACGAATGCATGTGCAATTATCGGTGGCGTATTTACAGTTGCTGGACTAATAGATTCGCTATTATATCACTCTGTCAGAGCAATACAGAAAAAGATAGAATTGGGCAAATACAATTAAAATTTAGATTAGCTTATAAGTTTGAAGAGTATTATAGAATATTTGAAAATATTTTGTACGACGGGTGATTTGATTTTACACGTCAGTTAAGTAACAATCTTTTATCGAGCGTATTATTAAAAACATAAAAAAGAAGAAAATACTGATGTAACGATATAAAATTTACCAATTTTTTATATTGCCTAAACTTGTATTGATACAACAGATTAAACATTTTTGTATAAGATATATAAAACTGTACATAAAGGACTATAGAATAGAATGTAAGAAAACGTAATATTTAAGTAAAATGTATACAATAAAGGTTATACTATTACAACAAGAAGGCTGAAAAAATATAAATATTTATTATAATATAATTATGTTTATTTTATACATTAAAAAGTCTTTAGAAAATCATTGTAAGTTTGAATAGATGCTTTTGCAACTTTTTCACAAAACTCATCATCACTACCTTTGACTAACTTTAATAGTGACACATATAATGGTTTTGTAGGATCATATTGGTTTCTTTTTAATTCTACTAAAAATCTATGTCTTCTTTCAAGCCTGCTTTTTCTACACAATAAAGCCTGTGCTTCCTGGCTTATAATAGTATGTGACAATTCCATATAATTATGGAGGTAATCAAAAGTTTTCACCACTTCAGTTCTGGCTGTAATTAAAATAAAACATTTTCACATCTAAACAGATAGAGTAAATGTATTCCTATTAACATATTATTAGCATTAATTATTTTAATTACCTCGAATCAAGACACGTGGTGCCTTAAGCAAAATAAGATGTATTTCTGGCACATTAAAACCCATTTCCTCTTTTACAGCAAAGGTACTCTTTCTTATGCGTTTCATATCATATGTTATAAGCTTTGGAGATTTTACTGCCAAATTTTTTGTTTGAGAACCATTCAGTTGAAAATTATTTTGAAAATAACCTAATCTGTTATCTATCTCTTGTGTCTTGAAAGCCAACCACGGAGGATGTATGTTTACTATTCTTTGTATCATTTGTATGTTAAAGTTACGAGCTCTCAAATACCTTATTCTTGTATGAAGATCATCCAAGTTTTCTTTAAAAACTTTAGGGTATCTGGTGATGAAGAATCCAAGATTTTCTGACTTTACACCACAATCAGATAAAAATTGTATGTATGGTTTCATATCTCTTTCAAAGTCGAGTTTCAGAAACATTTCTAGTACTTCTTTGTTTGCTTCTAATTTATATAATTCAACTCCTAATTTAACTAACTGTTGAATCGTATGTGAGTCGTTTGCAAATTTTGCAAAATTATAAGTTGCTGTCATCTTAGGTCCAATGTCAGACAGATCTTCATTGCAATGATCAAATGGTCCTGGTAGTTCTTCATCTATATCTTCCAAAGTATCATTTACTTTGTAGATATTTCCTGCTAAAGATTCAGTACCACGTAACTGCTGTAGTTCATTATGTACTTTTGTCACACTACTATTGTTTTCGATATCTTCATTTCTTTTTATAAATGCATTATTTGTTAATTTCTCGGTGTAACCTATATTATCAGGCTTAATATTCTCTGATAAGTAAGCTTTTTTATCATTAATATCTGTTACTTTATCTTTAATTGCCTCAGTTGAAGAGCAATAAAAAAGTTTGGAGCTTTTAGAAACGTTTTGAAAAATGAAATTTCTGATTCCAACGACATTGCAGGGTTTTAAGTGTAAAAGTGTATACAACCGTGAAGTCATCATATTTAATGATAAAATTGCATGGAATATTATCTTTTAATTGCTAAGAAATAAAATAAACCTCCTTGCAATGCACATTGGTACATATGTATATTGACAACCTCGTATATGTTTTATTACAAATAACCTACAGTACATGTAAAGTACATGGTAGGTTAAACACGCAACCCATTTTTGCATCACACTACGGCCATGTATACGTTACTACAAGGAAACGAGGTATATTGTGTATATGTAAGTGTGTTATAATCTGTGTGATCAAATACACTGCAGCGACAACTGTGCCATCGTCTTTCACGGTAAATCGAAGAACTAAAAGGCACGTGTTCTGTTGCGAGAAATTTTGTTGGATCTAAAAAATAAAATCGATTTACTATATTTTATTTCACTTCAATATGAGATTTATATAATTTCTTTGATATTGTATTAAGATACGTACTTGGAGACTCTATATTTTTGATAATATAATAAATGAAGATTTTCATAAATAAAAAAATAAATATTTTAGATAAATATTATTAAGTTTATATTATATTAAGTATATTTAATTTAAAAATATATGTCGTTGATCATCTTATTTAGTTTTTATTCGAATGGAATTTAAATTAACATTATTTTTGTTTTCTTATATAATTCAAAGTAGAATTTTATTTAAATATTTAATTGATCAATTAAATAGATATATCATACGTATAAATATTTAATTAAAAACCTGCTCGTCTTACATTTTTATTACATATAAATTTTTTATAATTTCCTCCTTCTGATTGCAATATATTAAGAAAGTAGTTATTAAGTTATTCGTAGAAGTAGTTAACGAAACTTACTATTTAATACAATGTAATTGCTTTAGGGTTGTCGTACCTTTAATTTGCACTACATGCCTTAAAGTGTCGTTCAAGCTGAAGGAAATTGAAGCAGGTTTCGTTATTGCAATTATCGTGTATTTGTATTGCATGCTGTTATCTAACGATGTAAATCACTATTTCACAATAATGAGCAATTACGTATATAAATATAAGTTCTACGTACTGCATGCATAAGTTCATAAGTGTAAAACTTTCTATTTTTGCGCACTTCAATTTATACAGGTACTTTCCCATTTAAAAATTTTATAACGATTTCCCTATCACATATTTTAAAATCTTCTTCCTAGGTTTTTGATTTCTTTTGTACAACTTTATGATTGACAAATTCATAACGGAAAAAGGAGTAAAAGTAATTGAATTTTTGAATAATTATGTCGCTTAATTTCGCGAGCTTCCAAATTCAACTGGCTTTACCGGTCGCCCGATTTAACAGCATCCGACTTTTTTCTGTAGAAATATCTGTAGGAATGTGTGTTGATAAACCTGAAACAATATAACAGACAAAGAACAATATCCAGGAAGAAATTCAAGCCCTGAGACCCGAAACATTAACAGCTGTGATGTAGAACGTAGTGGAAAGAGCCCACGCTTGCGATGCAGAAAACGGGGATCATTTACGCCACATTATTTTCTGTTTCTGAATTAAAAATATTTCCACTTTGTGTATTTTATTGCAAAAAATAAATAAATAAATAAACGCAATTTATTAACAAATAAAAATGTTATACAACTTTTAAACGGAAAACAGGACTTACGTACCACCCTGTACGACCACTTTCTTTAAAAATAAATACTTACTAAATATTTACGTAGTACATTTTGTTAATTCCCTTCTGATAATGAACTTTGTCTACAATCATTATAAATATCTTATATTCTTGAGAATTTTTTTGCAGATAATTGCAAACTCAAGACATCCGTGTTCAAAGCGGAACAACGAGGAACTAGATCAGAAAATGATTAAATTAGAAAGCGTCGCGATTCCTTTGCGGCTCCGGTGAATGCCTTTTTTATTCCAGCGGATGCTTTCATAATTCCTCCGTTGATGCTCCTCTATGAAAATTAATTAACATTATGTGTAGCAGCATGACGCTTCTACCGGCGAATTTAGGCGTGGTGCTTTCAACTTGAATCGGTTTATGCAGTCTACTGTTTATGATTTCATATGCAAGTACGCTCCCGTTTACAAATATCGCAACGTCATATAGAATACAGCAATTTATATAATTATACATTTATATAAATAATTAATTTAGATTAGCAAAGGAATTATACAAATAATTGAGATAGATTACCAAAGGATCGGTCAATTATTCTGTATTATATTGTTTGATTTTACTATAACATAGAAGAATTTTCACAACATAGTTGTAGATTAAACTAATGAAATTGGTTATTATTTAAAATACATATATTCCCATATGAGATTCTTGTAAAATTGTACAACCACGGGCAATAAGAGCAAATTTTATGCTATACGAGCAAACAGTTTAATAGAAAATTTCGTACTATAATGGTAAAATATTTTTTAACCGATTCGAACGCAAAAATACAAATATCTCGAAATGAAGAATACACGAATTACTCCATTTTCATAATCATCGATACAAATATTATCTTCACTTTACCCTTATTCCTTTCTCTCTGTTTTAATTCTTTATAAAACTATCTTACATGAAAATTCACATACTACTTATAACAAATCGCTAATGATTTTAAACTTTTATCTCATTCTTCTCAGTGTCCTAATACCCATCTATGAACAGTGTTTACGCATAATTCACAGATGAAATGATAGAGAATGGTCTAATATGTGTTTTCGTCTATCGTAATTATCATCTTTTTCCACCGTATACTCTAACGATACAACAATTACAATATTCCTGAATCGTAAACACACACATTTGCCGTGCGTTGGCCTAATGCTACCTTCTCCACACGTTACTCAATCAATTTACGGTCTGAATTAAAAATCAACGCGCCCAGTGTTTCTTTCAGTCTTCGTTAAGACTCCAGACCGATCAGTGATACCGTTTTTGCTTACGATTAATTTATTCGCGTACACGTTTTCCGCGTTAGACTTTCCTGCGTCGATGTCTATCGATGAAATTATCGTGATTCAGTGATCAAGAACTCTTCAAACATTCAAGGATTTGACGATAAAGATCGTCGCGACGCGACAAAAATTCTTGTGCACCTTCAGAAGAACTTGTTGTTTGACTCGTTTGTTCACAGTGCGACTGGTTTAAATTACGAAACGAAAATGGTCAATAAAAAGATGATCCCTTTGCCTTATCCTTTTTCCTTGGAAGAAGAATTGAAGAAGAATTCGGAACTAAAGATGTCGGATATCGAAATGTTGAGAGAGTGGTGTGATAAACAGCAACATTTACCTAAACCTTCCAATTTGCATCTCATTCTGTTTCTTCATAGTAATTATTATAGCATGGAGGCAGCTAAGAATACTATAGAGAATTTTTTTACTATTAGATCTCATGTTCCTGAGTTTTTTGATAACAGAGATCCTTTAGGGTCCAAAGAATTGCGGCAAGCTTTTAATGTTGTGTAAGTT